GTTACGTAATGTGGCCTGACGCCCCTGCGGCCTGCGGGCGGGCCGGCTCCCGCGGCGGGGCCCCAGTCCTGCCGTTTGCAGCTTTTGTTTTTCATTCTAGCCTGCCTCTTTCCTAAAGGAACACATGTTTTTAGGAGTTCGGAAATCACGTGCCTATGTCGTTCTTGCTTGGTGCGTTGCCACAGGTGCGGCCTTAGGAAATTACCAATCTTTAAAAAAATAACCCTTAGCATAGAAAAGAGGAAGGCCAGAAGTGATTAGGAGTTAGGTTTGTGCCTACTGAGAGCTCTTAAACCAGCTATAAAAATAGCTGACCGGTATATGAATGGGTTTAGGCCATGAACGTAGAAGAAAGGAATCCGTTTGCCTTCCATCTCCTCCACCCTGCCCCACCCCACCCCCAACCACCATTGGAATCTCCAGCTTTGGGCGAGGAGACTGGTGTAAGCAGAGGCTTGTGTTCTCAACCCAAGAGACAAGATCTGTAGAGGCCTACACATGTGATTTTCTTAAAGGCGTTGGCAACTAGTGTGTTTCAGACTGTGATAGGCCTGCATTCTCAGCAGCAGAAGAGTTGGTTATTTCCTTCAAGCTATTCAGAGCGAATCGTGGTAAACAGAACTTCCTTCGTATTTAAATCGTTCAGATTCAGGAAAGAATGTAACCACTTTTTACAATGTTTCTTCACCCAGGGAGTTTAAGGAGGTATGTTATATTGGACAATGGAACTTTTAGGGGCAGGGAGGAAAAACAGTTTACCTTTACTTAGACCTTAATTGGATCTGTATAAATTAGTGACCAAATGAATTTAGTGACCAAATGTAAGTAGACAAAGTGCAGAGTTTACTAGACTGCTAGACAGATTATATAGCAGTGGATGTAAAGGATTTTTCTGTTGGCAAACATGACGGCTTAAGAAGGTTTTGCTGTTGCTCTCCAAGTAGTGAGGAGTCAGTACGCTTATAAATAAATTTCTCTTCCAGTTCAGGAGGCTAGAAAGTACAAGATCAAGGCGTGTCTGGTGCAGATCCTCTTCCTGGTTTGTGCCGTCTTCCACTGTGTCCTCACAACGGGCAAGGGATCTCTCTCTGGGCTGCTTTACTAAACTCACCTACATTTTTAAACCGACATAAAATATTGACCCATTTTTTTAAAACTAGCAATAATAACAGCCTTTTTCACATATTGCCATCAGCATCCGAAGGTTGAAGAGGCTTTTAAGCATATCAGCTTAAGTACTGGATAAGTGAACTGAATTTAAGGCTAATAAGACTCCTCAATCTGATCCCTTATACTGAAGTTTAGTTTTGCTGGCAGTACAAGTCCTATGGCCCTGCAGGAGGACCAAAACAGACAAAACCACCGGACTAATTTTCCACGGATGGAATCCTAAAATTCTGTGCCTGCTCTTGCACCTTCCACCCCACCTATTCCAGTTGCCAAGGAACTTCGTAGACAACAAATACTGTTTAGGGTGAAGTGGCTTGAAAGCCACTGATTGGTTCAGTGTATCAAAAGCCACAGATGATAGTTCCTGATAGAGAGTAGCCTTGGGTGTGGGGGAAAGAGGCAGTGGTGGAGAGGAGTGGAAAACACCATCAATCTTGAACATATTTCAAATCTTTACACAAAGAGTCCAGTGGGAGTCGTGTTTACACTTGGGCCCTTGGGAATATCTGTTTGTTGATTCGCCTCCACCCACACATTACAAAGGAAGAGTCTGAGTCCAGGAAAGAAAATTAGAGTGAACCGGAGTCCAGGCCATCTCTCTCTGTCCTGAATCACCGCACAGTTGTTCAACCAGCTTTCCCTGTCTGTTCTGACCATTATCTTCTTAAAATATGCATCCGATGTTCATACTTCTGTCCATCTTTTGCATTTAGAATGAAATGCAAATCTTTTGATACAGCCTTAAAGGGACTGCTTAATTTAGCCTCTGCACTGCTCTCTGACTTCATCTTCCTCGTCTTGCTCTCTACACCCCAAATACAGTAGTCTTTCAGTTCCTAGAGCCTGGGCAAGCTTCTAGCCACTCAAAGGCCTTTGCCCTCTTGTCGGTCCCATAGCTACCAACCCTCACTTCCCCTTCATCACTTCTTCTCATGCTAGTTCTTTCCACTTCCTTAAGTTTCTGCTTAAAAAATCTTTCCCGGCCACCTTATCTAAAGTAGATTCCCCTGAACTTTCATTTTCTGTCAGCACTTGCTTATCTGTTTTTTTTTTTTTTTTTTAAATCAAATTGGTAATTATTTTGTTTTTTGTCTGCCTGCCCATCAGAAAGTAAACTCCATGAAGGCAGAGATATTATCTGTCTTGTGCACAATTATGTGCTGAGTACCTGGCAGCTGATGAATAAATATTTGATGAGTGAATAAGAAATCTGAAAATTGATTCCTTGATCAACAAGGACTAAATGTGGTGAAATAGGTACCAGTTCCTCCTGATACTTTTTAGAAGAGCAGCTGTTCTTAAAGAAGATACTAAAAACATTACAGAGGATCTGAATGATAGTTCCTGATAGAGAGTAACCTTGGGTGTGGGGGAAGGATCTATAAAAATAAATGTTTTAGAACCTGGATAGCTAATGCTGAAGATAAAACTTAGGGCCTCTAGAAAAAAAAAATAATGAAGTCCCAAAGATATATACTTCCTAGTTTATGATAGATCATTTACTCGCCCCAACCTGCCCCCATGAACTGTTCATCCCCACCTCTGCAGTTACTGGCTCCATCCTGGGCCCAAACCAGCATTCTACATATCATCCTAAGCTCTGCCTTCTTGCTCTCTGTCCATGTCTATTTCTATTTTCTGCTGTTCTGTAACAAACCACCCCAAACTTAGTGGCTTAAAAAAACCCTAGCAACTTAAAACAAAAATGCATCATTACCTCTTACAGTTCTCTGAGCTGAATGGGCTTGGACGCATGAAAATGGCTTGGGTCTATGACACAGTTGCAGTCAGTGGCTGGGTGGGGTCACCTGAAGGCTCAAGAGCACAGCACATTCCAAGATGGCGCACACACGTGGCTGACAGTTGATGCTGTCAGCTGGGAGCTTAGCTGGGGCTGTCCACCAGAGCAGCTATGTATGTGTGACCTCTCCATTTGGCTTGCACTTCTCAAAGTATGGTGGTTGTGTTCCAAGAAACAGGAAATGGAAGCTGCTGGTCTCTTAAGGCCCAGAAACTGGCACAGTGTCCCTTCTGCCATATTCTTTGTCAAAGGAGTTACAGAGCACACCCGAATTCAGGAGGAACCGCAGAACTCCCCTATCAATCAGAAGAGAGCCAACGAATCTCTAGCCATCTTTGATGCACCATGAAACCCCATTTCATTCTGGTCATTCCGCCTCATAAAAATCCTTCTGATCTCTTCAACCACACTGTCACCACCCTAGTATGGATGACGACCAAATTCTCTCCTAGTTAATTGCAAAAGCTTCCTAATTGGACTCCCAGTGTTGTTTGGGTGTCTCAAACCTGTTCTCTATATTACAGCCCGTGTCGTCATAAAAATCAAGAGACTGAGTTGACCATGTCTTCAAAATCTTCATGGGTCTCCACTGGTCTTAAAGTCCAAACACCTGATCACTCCCTAAGATGAGCTTGGATGACCTGGCCCTCAATCGCCTAGTCCACCAAATATCACCACAACCCTCCTCCCCCACTTACCGTATTTCCCGATTCACCGCTGTATTAGGGTTCAGTCCCACTCTGGGTATTACAAACAGAGGCAACATAGGGAATGGCTGGAGGAGCATACGACAGTCACCCAGAAGTCGCGAACTTCCTGAAACTCTAGGCAGGAGCAGGAGGGGAAACGGTGTTACCCCGCGCTCGTGACTGCTGCTCAGGCCGACCCACCGCCATTACTGCCACTGCCAGAGCCAGTGACGCCACTGAGGGGACTATGCCACCACTGCACTGGAGCCGGGAGTGCCCCTCACTGGCTGGTGTTGCTGCCATGACGGGAGATGCTGCCAGCGGCAGGGGGACATAGCTTCTCCCCGCCTCCTGCCTCCAGCTGCCCACCAGTGCTTTCCGCTGGCAGAACCTCTCCACAAGCCAGCTGGCAGAGGGGTCTGGGAAGGGCGATCTGCTGATGCAGCCCCCAGAAACACGGCAGGAATGGGGCTGAGAGCCGCTCCGAACGTTTGTTCCGTGAACCCATAAGCTCTTCCCTTCTGGATATACTTTTCCCTGTCTGGAACACTCCTCCCCTGTCTTTCTACTTGACTTTGTTTTCTCCTGCTTGTGAGAATTCTCAGTGCAGACGTCACTGCTTCCAAGAATCTTTAACTCTCACTCTGGATTAAATTCTTCCGGGTCACCACAGCGCTATGGCCCTTCTATTCACATGTGTCCCCCAGGTTGTAAATGAGTGTTTACTCTGCAGTCTTACTAAGTTGTGTTCCTCTCAAGGGTAGAACTCCACATTTCACCCTTCCCCCCTTACTGGCTAGATCATGCTAGACACTAAATAAATACTTAATGCAGGGTTCATAACCCAGAAGTAACTATGATGTCTCTGAATGGTCCAGGAACCTGCAGATCTGTATGAAAATAGAGTGCACCTGCTCATTTTTCCAGAGAGGACACACCACCAGACTCCCAGTGGGGTCGAGGACTCCTAAATGGTTAAGAAACCATACTTGTGAAAAAAGGAATGAATTCACCATATCCCCAAGACTCAGATAAAGAAAAATGTAACTTCCAGGTTGAAATGGTATCAAAGAGCATTTCAGTGGGTCACCCTAGATCCCAACTTTTACTGAATTTTAAAAGAATAGAAAAATGAAATCAGTACTAAGGCCGATGATGTACATGGAAATACAAAATAATATGCAAAACGGAAATCATTAGCAAGTATGATTAGTAGCTTTGTCTGTCATGTGAGGAGCTGGTGACTTGGGCGGGGCTCGGTGTGGTGGCAGAGCCGGTGAGCCAGGCGCCCTGATTCCCAGAAGACACGAAGCACAGTGCAGACATGCTCTAGACCCTTCTGCCCTTCAAAAGGCTTCGGCTCACTCTAGCACCTAATTGTAGAGAAGCTATGGGAAAACAGCATGGCCATCACAGAAAAGTAATGACAATGGACTTTTCGCTTTATTTATTTGTTCCATCCTAGGAGACTAGAATGATCCCAGCCAAATGAGCCTTAACGTTTCTTAGGTCACTTTAAAATCATTCACTTGAATGTCTCTTGTATTAATTTAAGTCACTCTGTGACCAAGCCATGCCAGGCTATCTTATGTATAAAAGGGTGACATATTAGGATACAGGGGCAAAACCGTAGGCAGGCGGGCCTCTGGGAGGAACTGGTACAAGGAACGAGAGAGCTCAGCTCCTCTCTGTGCGACACCCTGTTACTCTCTACAGGCTGACTCTGCCTGCCTCCCTCGGATGTGGCGGGTAGATGACGGGTGACAGCTCCAGTCAACTGAGTCGCAGGGTCTGTTCAGACGCTCGCACTACTGACACTTAGGCGGATCATTCTTCGTGGTGGGGCGGGCCTGTGCATTGCAGGGTGTTTAGCAGCACCCCGGGCCTCCACCTACTCGATGCCAGTAACACCCAACCTCTTTCTTGCCCCAGCTGTGACAATCAAAACGTCTCCAGACACTGCCAATGTCCCTGGTGGGGGAGGGGCAAAATTCATCACAGAGGGAGCCACTGGACCAGACCGACCAGGGTTTCATAACTCAGCATCAAATTACCAGAAGGGAGAATCTGCTCGGCCCAGCCTGGGCTGAGTCCAACTTGATCCAATTAACTATAGCCAAGGTGTTGGGTCATGTGACAGAAACAGGGCTGCCAGAAGTCCGCACCGGTGGGAGGGGTGGACACTCCAGAAGCCACATTTCCTTAACTGCAGAAGTGAGGTGTTCCAGCCGGACTCTATGTACTATATTTGTAGGTGGTTTAGAGGGAAGTTTTTCTCAGAGATGTACTTATGATGTCTGCATACCTTTACATTTTTAATTTCAAATCTTCTACTATCAGGATCAGGCTTTTAAAACAAAAGCATCAGATGTTTTTTTCATTTATTTCTTCAACTGTTGTTTATTGTGTCTCCTCTGTGCCAGGTACCGGGCTGGGCACTGGTGAGCTAAGCAGATTGGGTCCTGTGTACACAGAAGTCACGCTTTAATTCCAGATTAATTTAAAGGTTACGGTAGTGGAGTCCTACTTTGGATTAGCCCATTTTGTCATTTTCATTTTACCTTCGGTAATCACTATATTTTATGCCGCCGTGGGGTTCCCTGCCTATCCGAACTGAGTGCTGGTCTTGGCATTCATGCGGCACTTTGTGAAGAATCACAATTTGACACTGAATCTCAGTTGCTCACGGCCTTGGAAAAAAATTACAAAAATTGACTCCTACCAGAAAAAAAAAATAACAAAGTATTAGGAAGAACATCTCGACTTTTCTCAGATAACAGAATAATAAGTTATCAGGCTGGCCAGCAAATAAGGATTCACTATGCAGTGAAGGTTATACGGAATGACTCTGTTAGATTAAAAACGAGCTGTTTTTGCAGCTGCTAATCTCACCCCATCGCCCCAAATAGCTGCCGCTCCTCCTGTCCCGCGTGATCGTCGCCAGTGTCCCCAGTGTACTGTGAGACGCTGAAGGCCCAAGGTGCTTTTCAGGCAGAGTTCCATGGCCATGTTAGGTTGAGAGCTGCTGCCTGTTCCACCCTCCTTTGGGAGAGTCACAGTAAATGCGTCAAGGGCTCTGAGTAGTTGTCACTGCCGTAGCCGTTTTTGAAAGAAATCTGGTAATATTTAATAAATCTGACGTGTGTATGTCTTTTGTCCCAGCTCTCTGTTCCTGAGCACATACTGAAAATTAATTTCCTGTGTATAGAATGTACTAAAATGTCCATCAAATTCTAATCCGTGGTAGCAAAGAGCTGGGGTGACCTCCAGGCAGCAAACTAAACTACAATGTAGCAAAGTGAAGGAAGCTGAAAACGGTTGTTGAGAAAATGAGAAATAGAATGAGGTTTCTAGTGCAATGCCATTATTGTAAAAATTTTAAACGTGTGCATTTATACCTTGTTCAAAATATACTCATGCTTAAAAACCTGAGCAGAACTGAACTGTGATGGCGCTCAGTAGAGTGGGTGCATGTGGGGAGAAGAGAGCGGGGAAATAATAATAAAAGACTTGAACTTGAGAAGACATTCTGCAGGTTGAACACATGCCTTTAACTTGACTCCCTCCCCAAAGTGTGTTAAAATGGCATTAAAGGAATAAAAAAGGATATAATCCCATGAGTTCAAAAGATCGACCATTGAAAGGTGACAGAATTTTGACAGAAAGCAGGTGGTCACATCTAACTGACTTGACAGGCCAGAGAACACGGAACCCTCAGGGCCTGCAGGGAGGTGCAGGGCATTAGGTAGCAAACACATTCAAGCCGGGGGACCGGAAAGACCGGGGGTACCGGTACCTGGAAGGCCAGGCAGTGGGCTGGGGTGGGAACGGAACTAACTGGCCGAAGGCGCCCACAAGGAGTAGTGGGTTCCTGGACCCCTCCTGCCGCTGCCCCCTCCACCAACGAGAGAGAGGCAGGCGGCGGGCCGCGGACAGGCCCTGGTTCCGGCTCACGGGCACCGAGGGAAAACTCACGGCATCCACACAAACGGGATTGGGGAGCGGATGCTGACAGCGGGGGCAGGGAGGCGCGTGGGAACTCTGTGCCTCCTGCTCAATTCTGCAGTGAACCGGAAACTGCTCCAGAAAATAAAGTTTACTAAAGAAAAGCAACCGGAAGTTTAAAAAAATGCTTTGGGACAGAATCGCATTTTAAGAAAGCAAAAGAGCATTTTCACTTTAAAAAAATAACAGGTTTAGGAGCCAGGTCGGCGGGCCGTCGGTGTGCCCGACTGGGGACGCGCAGCCTCTGGTCTCGCTCCTCGTCCCTTCTCGTCCCCGGTCTCCTTGCCTTCCTTCTCCCCTTTCTTAGGCGTCTCCTCCCGGGGCGCCTCGGATACCTTCCCAAACCTCTGATGGGAGAAGGCAGGATCCGCCTGTGTGCTATCTGGACACGTGACAGACGAGGCGTTTCCGCCCTCTGGGATGTGCCGAGACCGTCCCTGCCTCTGCCTGTCTGCGTGCTGCTGTCCAATGGGTTTGTCGGGGCTGTTAGCTCTCCAGGGGTTCTGCCCACCCCAGTGCCAAAAAGTCCCCCAGATGTGGCGCGTAAGTGACCGGGACTGGATTTGAGGGCGTGCCCAGCGGAGCTGCAACCCTTCATTCAGCTCACCAAGTGCCTCTTGGGAGAGCCGCTCCAAAGACTGGCATCTGGGCCCACAGCTGCAGCTGCACACAGGGTCACCTGGCACATGGCCTGCTGCGGGAAGCACCTGGGTGCTCCGTGTGCTCTAGAACCTTCCCCGCCCCTCATGGAATGCTCCAAATAACCCTGACTGTGGCTTAGCCTGCTTGGCAGGACGGAAATCCTGTGACGTGGACACATGACTTTAGAGCCGAATGTTTCTACGCTGTTGGAAAACCTACATTGCAGGTTTCACCCATCAAAAGCCCACATTATACATTTTTATTAATTTGCTTTAAAAATAAGTCTAAAGACAAGAGTGTACAGGGGACAGCAGCAGGTGCTCTTCACTCACTTCACGTGCTGTCTCATTTCTGCGCATACAGTGCTAACTCATCTTTTAACAGCCGTGTAGCATTCTGTGGTCCAGCTATGCTATTTTTCTAAGGTTCTAGCATATATTAAAACACAGAAGGTGGAAGAGGCTTTGGAGACGCGTGGTGTAAACCCCCAAATAAAAGAGTAACCTGCACCTATTTGGCAAAGCCTGCACCCACAGGAGGACTGGGGGTTTCACCCAAGGAGCACGCAGCGAGCGAGTGGTGGCCCCCGAAGAGCCTCACGTCCTAACCACTGGGACACGTGCATGTAAGTAGCCTTGTTTGCCAAAAGGGTCTTTGTAAGTGTAACTAAGTTAAGGATCTGGAGATGAAATCATCCTGGATTTAGTGCGGGCTCTAAATCCAATGGCCTGTGTCCTTGTAAGAGAAAGGCAGAGTGGGATGTGACATTCAGAAGCACAGGGAGGAAAGCCATGTGAAGAGGGGCACTATGCTGCTCCATGGCAAGGCAGGGCTGGGGCCTGGGAGGCTGGAAGGGGCAGGAAGGAGCCTCCCCTGGAGCCTTTAGAGGGAGTGTGGCCGGCCACATGGTGACTTCAGACTTCTGAGCCCCAGAACTGTGAAAGAACACACTTCTGCTGTTTCAAGCCCCCAGCTGGTGGTGACTTAAGGCAGACCTAGGAAACTACTGACCTGGATGTCAGGAGCCCTGGCCCCACCCTTGTAAATCAGAGCATGAAACATACGCTCCGAGCCAAGCCACCTACTCACTCTGGGCCTTGGTTTTTCCTTCATCTCTGAGAATGAAGAGACTGGGTCAAATAATGTACAAACTTCCTGTTGTCCCTTACACAGTCTTCTCACATAAAATCACACTCCTCCTTTGAGGTTCGATTTTGGCCAGGCACCTACCTAGTTAGGGACTAGATGCCACCCGTGGAGGGTTAAACAATACAAAGCTACACAGGATGGGTGATGAGTCGGCGATGAGGTCTGCGTTCAGACCGGAGAGTCCACCGTGGCGGCGGGTCTGGGGCAGCTGGCAGCAGGCTGGAGGGGAGGAAGGCCCGCTGGCTGGTGACGGGGTGTGTGAGGTGCGGAGTGGGGTGCTCTAGGGAAGACCAGCTCACGAAGGCTGTCGCACTGAAACGGGATTGCTGATACAACGATTTCCCTCCCCGGGCCATACATGAGTGACATTCCTGAGCGGAAATTTGCCCTGAGGACGTCAGCTCTGACACTAGAGGGGACACAAAGAGAATCTAGGGAACGGCAACTGGGGGGGGAGAGGAACCACTCGGAGAACGACTGTTGGTCTTCCAACCAGATGTAGCTGGGCAAGATGGATGGGGAGTGGGGGTCGGCGGGTTGGGGGGGGGAGGGACACACGTTCAAAACCACACCCAGACGCTGGCCATGGAAAGAAGCCCAGCAGGAAGGCACCATGTCACCAGTGGGGATCTCTGTGGGTGGCGGTCACGTCCTGGGACCAGAGAGGGCGTGGCTGCACGATGCTGTGAACCTGTGTGCCAGTTCGTGGCTACAGGGTAGTCAGCCGGAGGAAGGCGGCCTCCCTGCTCACGGGGTTTGCGGGCAGGCACCCCGAGTTCCCGCTCCTTGTTTCCACAAGGCGCTTCTCCCGGCTGAGGTGGGTCTTGGTTCAGGGTCTGACCAGTCTTGGCTGTGCTTGTGTGTCACTGTGACTTAGAGGCTAGGACGAGGGCCTGCTATCACAGGCTGCGTGTCCCCATGTGACCACAGCGGCCTGCACGGCATCACTGGGGTGCGCCGCTGGCAGGCGCGAAGCCGCTGCTGTGTGACGGAGCGTTGGGAAGTATCCACTCCTCTGGGGGAACGCGGGGCGGCAGGGTGACCAGTGGCCGGGTGGAGGGGAGGCAGGGCCGAGCGCCCGCTGTCCTCGGGGCCTGGCTCCTCCCAGGCCTTCTTGTAATAAACACTCCGGCACTCCTGGCTTCTCCTCCTCACTGACACCGCCTGCCTATTTGGGGTCCCCTTGTCCCATTCCTGCAAGTTCCTCTCACACAAAATCAAACCGGTCCTTTGAGGTTCGATATGGCCAGGCACCAGCGGGCAGGGATCGGGTGACGGTCCGCTGAGCCGCTGTAACCGGGTGATGGTCTGCTGAGCCACGTAAAGCAGGTGCTACTGGAGCCGGTGCGCAGACGGGGAGACTCCAAGGCAGACGGCCGGGGGTGCCGGGGTGGGGCTCAAGCTCCGATGTCCGATAACTGGGCCCTGCTGATGAACCGGTTACTGGGGGATCGATCCCTCCCCACAGACACACTGTCCCCGCACAGCGGAAATGAGACCTCCGCGGCAGCAGCCGTGTGTGGCGCCCTTGGCCGACAGCGTTCCGTCGGAGGGTCTGGGAAGCTGGGACCCTGGGCTGACTGAGGCCTACGAGCTAGCGCCGCCGGCACGTTTCTGGTCTCAGAACCATCGCCAAGCTTCCAGATGAAGAGCCACAGCACTTCTAACAGCAAACACTGAAATAAATGGGAGCCACACAGACATTTAAGGGGGGCTGAAAACAGGACCATCATTTTCCAACTCGCTGACTCCAGTCCAGGGCCAGTGTGGCCAGAGTCAACCCCGAGTCCCCCACTGCACCCAGCACCCCTCGGCGTTGAGGTGTGGGAGCCGGCTCGGCGGAGCTGACCGGATGCCATCATAGCTCATTCTCCCGGAACACCCTGCAAACATGTGCTCTGACTAGGCAGGCTAAATCTTAAACCCCATCTCATTTTTGTCAAAGGTATTTTTCGAGCCTTCCTGTAAAACCAGGCATTTCGTCTATAGCCCTGAATGCATATACTGGCCAGTCTGCCAGGGGGCTGGTCTGTGTGGCCATCTGCCCTGTTGGAAGATCTAGACTAGGGAGTGGTATCTTGCTTCTCACTGAGAGTAACTTGTGAAGAAGAACTGGTTCCAGATGTTCTGAGGGCTCCTTTGAAGGACATGACTCGCCTGTAAAATGCAGCACCTCATCTTTGGGTCAAGAGAAAAGGAGAGATTACTGTTTATCCCTAAGATTGGGGAGAAATTTTTATTTCAGCCTGTTCCATTTTTGGACACCAGCAGATGAGAAAGGCCACCATAATAAACTAGCCAAGGCTGCTGCAACTGGTCACGAAGCTGAGATGTCTGAGAAGCTCATGTCACAGTGAGTAGCTTCTCTGACCCCCTGTCCCTTGTCACTTGGAAAAATATGGTCAAGATGCATTATCCCCACAATGCAGTGCTGACCACGGGAGACCCCCAGTTATAGGGTCCCAGGTCTGCTGTCGAGTCACAGGCAGTTCAGCCCCTTAGCTGGTTCCTGGACGTGGCAAATGAAACCCAGCTCGAAACCAAATAAATACCAAACAGAAAAGCAGGGGGAAAGTGTGGTGGAGCCGGTTAATTGCCTGTTGTCACAGCAACCTATTTTTGGTCCACACTGACATATGAATAGTGAAAGTGTTTCATTACTATTGGAGAGGGGGTGGGTGTCATATGTGCTGGAAAAAATGAGTAAGCCCCGTGGAGAGGCTGTTTGGCCTCTGGGCAGAGAAGTCACACATGGTGCCAAGGCCAGTGAGAAACAGTCAGAAAACCTCTCAGGCTTTATTTCACCAGAAGACACTTGGGTACGTGCAGTGGGAAACTGAAGTTCCAGTCTAGGCACAATTCTGATTTTTAAAAGAAAGAAAAAAGTCTCCCAACTATTTGAAAACAGTAACAAATGCAGCTAACCCTTTCGTGGGGAAACGAGGAACATGTGGTGACCGTCACACCTTGTTTACTGACGAGGCAGAACGCCAGCTGCTCTCTGAGACACTCTAAGGATGGTTTCTTAGATTTAAAGATCTAAGAAAGGCATGGAGATGCGACAGGTCACAGGCACCTTCTACGTGCCAGGCACCGCCCTGACAAGTGCGGGGTGGGAATGGTGGCCTTCTGCAAGTAACTTGGTCCAAAGTCTCATGAATTGTGACTTAGACAGAGCTCATTCTGCCCACCCGCTCTTGACGGAAGACAGCGAGCTCAGGGGACACAGATGTTTCCTGGCCCTCCGGGGTCACTACTGCAAGGTGGCCAGGGTTGAGGGGGGCCGGGTGCAGGCCTGCCCAGTAAAGAGCCACACTTCCCATGCCTTGCATTCCCAACCTGTGAGACTGGAAACCAAGGACTCTCCAGGGGGCGGCACCACTTAGCGGACAGCTGCCCGGGAGAGGCACGCCGCTCTGAGTTAGCATCCAAGTCAGGGCTGCCAGACCTCGCCAACCAAACTCTGGGGCAGGCCCAAGTGAGCCTGAATTTCAGATCAACAACAAAGCCTTCTCTGGAGTAAGCACGTCCCGTGCCATTCCCATAAGTTAACTGACCTCGAGGAGGGGGTTGTGGGAAACCGACCTACACCCGTCAGAAGCACAGTGACAACCTGGACTGGCCACTGGCATGCCGAGCAGGAGGGGATCGGAGCCTGGGCTGAGGCTGGCGTCTGTGCATGCGTGTGCGTGTGCGTGTGTATCGGGGGACGGTCTTGTGGTGAGGGAGGAGAGGAGGCATCTGAAAGGGTGCAGGGGAAAGGGTCTGCAGAAATGACCAACTCAGCGGTTAAAGTCCACTCCTGACTGCCCCTCCCAGGACTCTCTAGCTCACGTGTTTCCCCATAGCTCCCTCCCCCACCTCAAGGACTCTCCAGCTCCCATCTGCTGATTCGTGGTTTGCCAATAAACTAATGTCCTTCCTTATCTCTGAAGCTATGTAGGAAGTACAAGACTGTGTAAAACTGCCTGTTATGTTACCATCGGGGCTCAGCCTTCAGACAGGAATCTGCTGAGCAGGTGCCAGCATCGATAAGTGCTGCTTCCTGCTTATAGCCTCAATGTCCCTCTGTCCAAGAATCCTGTAACTGTGCTGACAACGCCAGAGTCGCAAGACAAACGACCTGTAAGACCAGTGGTCTGGAAACTCGTCCCCGCTGGTGGCCCCCCACCCGAAGCTCCCCCCATCTTGAGTCATGAGGCACTCGCGAAAACTCAGACAAAGGCATCAGGCACCCCGTGCGTGGGCACTGCAGAGGTATATAAACTGAGATAAATCTAACCAAGGGGAGCTCGTGCTTTGGGTCTGTTGAGTGCCCCATGCTCTCCGCTGGCAATAAATTCTCCTTCCTCTAACAAAGTTGTCTTCAGGTCCAATTTCCACTTGCCGGCACTAATTCTTCCTCTAGGAGTTGTCTTAGCGTCCAGTTTCCTCTGACAGTTGTCGCTTCCTGCAGCGGTGGGACTGAACCCGTACCCTGTGGAGCCTGACGCCATCTCTTGCTAGACAAGTGTTAGAATGAAGCTGAATTCTTGGACACCCTTGATAAGAACTGGAACTTTAAGCAGACATAATGGGTCGGGAGGGTCTACGGGAGGAGCTGGGGCTCGTGGAAGTTCTCGCCCTCTGCGTAACGGGGCGAACCTAATGCATGGGACCCCTGTGGGGAGAACTCAGTCTACGACGAGGCTCTACGGCACCGACGCCCCTCCCTTGACTGCCCCTCTCCTTCTGCACCCCCTCAGCATGCGCATGGCTGCCATATCTGCACGCACTGGGCTGCAACCCCTTATTTTTGCCAAATATCCTTTTTCGATGATGAAACACCCGGTTGACGTTATTTCCGTCGATGCCCTGCGGAGTCTGAGACTGCCTGCTGGGCTGGGCCCAGGAGCCCTATCTGCCTGGCGACCTGCTCACAAGTTCCCGCTGTCCCCACCAGTCAAATTATGTCTGCCCTTCAAGTCCCAGCCCGAAGGCCATGTCTCCCACGGAGCTATCTCCTGCAGCCCGTGCCACGTGGCTGTCACAGCCCTCGCCCACCGGGCCCGTCACAGTTACGTGACAAGTCCTGCTGTTCTCTTCGACCAGACCCTGGAGGGCAGAGACAGACGCTTGGCGCCCCTCGTCCCCACCGCCCATGCACAGAGGGCCACACGACGCCCAGCACGAATGGACATGGCCACTCATCTCCTGGGTTTCGGCTGTGCGGGAAAGACAGGCATCATCGCAGTGTGAACAGCCGGCTCCAGGAAGGAGCGGTGAAGCCACGAGACAATTTACCAGGAGGGGCCTGCCTGTAGAGGGGTCGGCGAAGGCTTCTCTGGGGGGTGACATTCAGGGGACCTGGGCGACCAGAAGTAAACATGTGGCAAAGTAAGAGGAAACATTTCTGGGAAGACACTGAGGTAGAAGGCAATCTGGTCTGTCTGAGGAACCGAAAGGTCTGTGATGTGAAGTGTGATCTGGAGTCGTGAAGTGTGACGCACAAGGGGCGGGGCTGCGCGGGCTTGCGGGCAGGCGTCCTGGACGGCTAGGAGCCAGGACACGACCTGATGTCGCCAGCTCTCGCGGGCTGCTGTGTGAGAACCACAGGAAGGAAAGGACAAAAGCAGAAGCAGCAAGACCAGCTTGGAGGCCGTTACAGTCACTGAGGCTCAAGAGGCGGAGTCTAGGTTTGAGAAGTCTCCCCACGTCCCACCTGCTGTCCCACACCGGTGCCCCTCCCCGCGAAGAGGCGGGGCCTACTGCCTTCCCCGTAAAGCTGGGGAGTCCCCGCCCTGACAAAAGGGACGTGGGGTGTGACACTACATGACTCTCAGAGGCAAGGAAGCTGTGATCCGCTTCCGCCTGGCCTCCCCTGACCCAGAACAAGAGGACACCGGCGCAGGGGACCTGGAGGAAAGTGGACCTATTTGAGATGCCGAAAGGAAATAAAATTAACAAGACACAGTCACGAAAGGGACCGAAAACGTCTCCGTTGTGAAGGAATGGGGGAGGCCCAGATACACCTTCTTTAAAATTTCTTTATGATTTTAAGGATGCACATGTTCGAGATCTTCATTCATTTGGTTTAATAATTTGATTCCTGTTAAAATGCACACAACTCAGGGACTGGTGAAGTTTGAATTTTGTTCATTCACTAACATTTAGCATGGATAAAGACTGAGACCAAGTTTCCTGATAAACAAAATGGAGGCACCAAGGGCTGGGGGCGGGGGGTGTCCCCAGGGAAGGAAGGAGAAAGGAAACTGGGCACACGAAACACCAGTGGCGCCTCCACAATGACACGGTGTCGGTCCTCCCTGTCACACTCGCTGCTCCCAGCAGTGATGGCTTTCATTCGCCTTGGACAAGGGGACTCTGCTGGTGCCAGTTATGACACCAACAGCTAACGCTCACGGTGCTCCCCGTGCGGCAGGCGTCACGGGCACCGGCCCACCTCATCCTCACAATAAGAAGGCGGCAAGCCACTGTGACTCCTTTTACTGACCCTGAGGGCAAGGAGTTTGAGTGACGAACACAAGGTCACAAGACTGGTGAGCAGGGGCAGGGGGACCCACACCCAGCTCTATTGCCACAGATGGCCTCGTGTCCCTTACGGATTCAAAGGTCTTGAGCCAGCTGCTCTCTGCCCACTAGGACTTTTAAGGCTGTGACTGAGGAGAGTATGTGT